CCGTTTTTGAAACTACCATTCGTTACTTGGGTGGCCTTATCGCTGCGTACGATGTTAGTGGTGGATCCTCTGGCCAGTATAAGATCCTGCTGGATAAGGCCGTCGAACTTGCGGAGGTCCTCATGGGCGTTTTTGATACGCCTAACCGCATGCCCCTATTATATTATCGATGGCATGAACCTTATGCTTCACAACCCCACCGAGCGAGCACTGTTGGAATCGCTGAGCTTGGAACTCTGTCTATGGAGTTCACTCGCCTCGCTCAATTGACGGGTACCAACAAATACTATGATGCTGTTGACCGTATCACCGACGCCTTGATTGAGATGCAAGCAGCGGGTACTGATATTCCAGGACTCTTCCCCGAACGCATCGATGCCTCTGGGTGTAACAGGACCGCTACTACTCGGACTGAAAGCCTCAGCCAGGAGGCCCGGGAACAAGTCAATTCTGCCGACCTGACTAAGGAACCTGAAGGATTTGATCCCACGAAACTGGGTGGAGATGTGGCCTCTCCCCCAGAGCTCCCTCAGGCTGATAGTCGTTGGGAGGACAAGCTCCAACGCCGCGATGTTCCTGTAGGTACCGATGAGGCAACTAAAGCGGGTGATCAGACGCCAGCCCGACCTGGGCCTCAACAGGCGCCCCCTCTTGCTGCAGATGGATCCTCGGCAGACTGGGATTGCAAGCCTCAAGGTCTTGTTTCCAGTACCCCTAACTACGGACATTACCATATGGGAGGTGCCCAAGATTCAGCCTACGAGTATTTCCCCAAGGTACATTTCTCCGTCTTCATTCTTCATGATAATTTTGTCTGACGTAAACTTAGCAATATTTGCTCTTGAATGGTCTAGAACCCAAGTATCGCCCGCTGTACGAGAACACCATCGATGCGATTAATGAATGGTTACTTTATCGACCTATGATCAAGGACGACGGCTGGGATGTGTTCTTCACAGGAAAGTTGACGACTTCTAGTCGGGGTGACTCAGAATGGTTAAAGACCTACGACATGGCTCATCTCGCATGCTTCGTTGGAGGCATGTATGGACTAGGCGGTAAGATATTTGGTCGTGATGGGGATATCGACAAGGCCAAAAAGCTCACTGATGGTTGCGTGTGGGCATATCAGTCAACGGTTACCGGTATAATGCCTGAATATGCTCACCTGGTGGCTTGCCCTGCCCTGGAAAAGTGTGCTTTCAGCGAAGAGAGTTGGTATGAGGACCTCGACCCTAACAGAGAATGGCGCGATAGTGAGTTCCGGAAATGGTCAGACGGCGAGGCCCGGAGGAAACTCGCAGAGGGAGCTGCTCCCGCCGCTGCTCAGCAAAACAAGCCCGATGATTCAAACAAGGGACCGGAGCCTGTCGCTAATCCGCCAAAGGTGGTCAAGCGGGCAGGAATACCGATGCCTGAGCTGGATAGGAGTATGGAGGAGGACAACTCGGAGTTTGGATCAACGCTCCCGGATTCACTCAAGCAGAAAATCGGGCTGAACAAGGACGGGTCTGAAAAGACTGAAGCTGAAAAGCCAGATTGGGGCAAGACTGATTCGGAGAAAGCCAAACCTGCTCCAGTCGAGCTAGAAGACAAACCCGCCGCTGTCCAAGATACAACGGAAAAGACCATCGCGCCGAAGCCTGTCACCGTAGACAGCTTTGATGCCGTCAGAAACGCAGAACAAGTTGCTGGTTCTGATGATGTACCTCTGGAGAGGCCCGTGACGCACGAGGAGTACGTCAAGTCGAGGATTCAAAGAGAAAAACTACCTCCAGGCTACACCGATATAATAAACCGGAATTACATCCTTCGGTAAGTTTGCATTTGTAATGCTTTTATTGCCTCTCCTAACATAAAGCTACAGACCTGAGGCGATTGAATCTGTTTGGTACATGTATCGCATTACTGGCGATACTACCTGGATGGACAAGGGTTGGAAGATGTTCCAGGCCACAATTGCTGCTACTCGCACCGAATTCGCCAACAGTGCCATCGAAGACGTAATGGGCACAGAGAACAATCTGAAGGACGAGATGGAGAGCTTCTGGATTTCCGAGACTCTCAAGTACTATTATCTACTCTTTTCAGAGCCTAACGTCATTAGCCTTGACGAATGGGTTCTCAACACGGAAGCGCATCCTTTCAGGAGGTCAACATGAACGGCATTTCAGCGCGTGGTTACAAGTCAGTATACTGAGAGCTTGCTCAAAGAAAGCGGAAGTTTTGAAAAGGAGGAAGCAGGGTGGTAAACTTATTTCATTATGGGCAAGTCAAAGTCACGACAATGGCGTTTTTTGGAGAATGGTCAGGATAAGGTAGTGTATGATTATAAGGCGCTAGTCATCTGGGGATATATCAATGTACATACATATTTCATCTGCAGCCGGGGTATCTCCTCAGCGTTTCGTGGTTTAGAGTGAAGCCGCTCACTTTGTTCCATCTCGGTCACCTAGTCTCTCAACCTTTAGCTGCATCCCACTGGACCGAGATAGGCTGGTGATTGCCAGAGAACTTGGTCCCTCCAAACCAGAGCTCAAATCTCAGGTCTGCTGGAGCAACAATAACTCGAATATCGAACCTGCAAATGTAGAACTTGTGTCCACGCCGGAAACAAGTTCCTCGCTTTTCTTTGAGGACGAGCTGGTGTTGTTCGATGCCAGCGAGGTTGCTCTTTACAGAACAAAGTCTCATAACGCCAGCTTGTTTAAGGCTTCGAGGAAGCCATTCGGCCTCGTTGTTCGACACCACAATTTCTGCATCCCAAGCTCGTGTAGTGTCTCCATCTTTCAGCCTGATTTCGAATCGTTTGACCAACGGAGAGTCCGGGTCCACGGTATCTCCCTGTGGGCTTTGGTCAATCCAGTCTGTGAGCAAAAAGAAAGGCCTGGAGCATACCTTTTTGATCAACCATTGGATCTGATTAGTCGCCCACTTCACACTTGGGTCCCACGGATCTTGTCGGACTTCTTCATCGAAGTGTCGTGCAGGCATGTAGACCTCCTGAACGATTACGCCGTAGCTCGCTCGAGCAATCCAAGTGCTAAGCACGGATTTGTTCCCCGACTCCATCCTCTGTCGCTTGTTCTCGAGAACTCCACGAGCGACAACAAGTTGCGGGTCTTGGGAGGGTATAACAAGGATATTTCGGGCATTTGGATGTTGCAGCTTGGCCAAGTGTTCTTGGAGAACCTCACGGACGTAGGCTGAACTACCCAGCCCACCGGACAGAATCACATACTCCTGTATACACAATTAGCGTCGGTCGAGCTTCAAATCAGAGCGCCTTACCACTTGTTTTGAATGGCCTTTTTCGGTCAACCAGTCAAGTCGCTTGTGAATTCGGGCCATGATTGCTTCGATATGGACATCGAAGAGGGCTTGAATGTCTTGCCTGCAGCGGATGAATCAAATTTGGTAAGTTGACATGGAGCATGCGTTTTTAGTAGTGGGACAGTAACTGACTTGGTAAAAAGCATACGTCCGTCTTGAACTCCGAGGCCTTCGTGGCTCACATCGTATCCTACACCCTCCATCATAATCTTGTACACTGGTTGCATGTATACTTTTTCCCCAAACTTGTGCTTGACGCTCTTGAATCCTTGGCTTCGAGCCATGCGTACTGCAAAATCAGCCGGAAGCTTGAAGTCGGGATTCGCGGCCATTCTTTGCGAGACAAGTCTTGCGAATGCGCGATCAATAAGTGATGAGCCAACACCTACACCGCTGACGGCAGCGACTTGAGAAAGCTGTGGAAAGCTCGAGTGTGTGGAAGTCACTCGCATCAGAGCGAGGTCTGTTGTGCCACCACCAGCGTCGACGGTCAGGAATACGCTATTTTCCTTAAGACTTATAGCACCAGTTTTGAGAGTTGCCACGGCTGCGGCCTCGGACTCTGTGAGGTCAACCAATGCTGAGTGTTTTGGGCCTCCAGTTCCGAATCCAGCATCATGGATTGCGCCTTTGAAGGTGTTGATGATGGCCATGCTCGTCCACGTCGTGGGAGCACTGAAGAGGAACAGCACGGCCATGCGGTCCCATCCACCGACGTGCTTTATGCCCATGCGCATTTCTATGCTATCTTTGATATGCAGATATATCTGCTTCAGATAATCTGTCACGAATTGGCGAGCCTGGGCTGTGCTTTGCGGGACGTTGCTTAGGCCCTGGTGCTGTGCCGCTTCGAGGGTCTCTGGATCTAGAAAGATCTTGAAGAAGTCCCGACGTGTCTTGCTCGGATCGTGGTCGTCGTCCGCACACATGAATCCCCAAGATGAGATGCTTCCATCGGCGTTGTATACGATTGTCGTGGGGACTTTGCGATCACCTCTGTCGTCGCTCCCCGGCCAGTCATTGACGACCTGAATAGGGATTCCATGCCTCATCCAGGCGACGCCTAGAACAGATCAGTTTATAGCTGGTACCTGCTGGCCGATACTCACCTGTGAAGGTCGTACCAAGGTCCACAGAGATAGCCAAGTCTGGTTGCTCTTCCATTTGTTAATCTGCTCGATTTCTCTACAGAAGCAATTGAGGGAGGATCAAAAGACAATCTGAGAGCCTTATTGCCAGAAATGTGACAAGCCTCGGAAGTGGACCATGCTACAGGCCTATTTTCAGCCGTCGGAGCTGGATTTGGTGATATTGGTTTGTTGGACGCACCTCCGAGGGTGTGCGGGACAATATGCAGCAGCTCGGCTGGGAAATGACAGACTAGGTCTTGGGCCTCAGCCTGATAATGAAACATGCATCTCAATGTTCCCCTGTGCTGAGTGGCTTGACAAGGGATGCTGCTAGCTGGACCTCGATGGAGAAGAGAGGAACTTGGGGAATACCGAGGCTTTGCTGGTGGTCAAAAGCAACACCGGCCCTGAAAGCTTTCGAGACTTTTGTGTTCTCCTTCTTTTTCTTATTGTCGCCTTTGAGACTTTTCAGCAGCGACTGCCCCATCTCCTGAGTTACTTGTCCTTTTGAAGAACCTTTATCTCTAACCTACGAAGATGAATTCAACGACTCTAGTGTTGAGTGGAACTGTCGTGCAAAACCCGACAATTCTAACGGTCCTAGAGATCACAACTACTACGTCCAACATTGCCCAAGAAGATATTAATGTATCTCCTAAAGGCATAACAATTACCAACGTGTTTGTACAGAATACAACAGAGGCGGTGACAATTGGAACCACTGCGCAGACTTCAGAGGCAGCGGCATCAAGCCAAGAAGGAATCTCACCCAGCGCGTCGTCTACAGTTATGAGTGATGAGAAGCCAACTGACCACGAAGAGCCATCGGACAGATCGTCGGATGGACTCAAAGGCGGCCCTGTCGCTGGAGTTGCCATCGGCTGCCTCATTGCTGGTCTTGCTCTGGGACTCATAGCAGCCTTTCTACTTCTCCGGAGACGGCGAAGAGGCAAACCAGAAAACCAAGGATTCGTTTTAGCAAACCAAAAATACACGGAACCCAAGGATGGGACACAGGTCATAGTTTCATCGTCGAGGCACGATGCTGAACTCAGCCAGTTTCTTCTCGAGGCAACTCCCGACAAGGACATCCAAGCAGAGTTGCGCTCACTCTCCGAACTCATTTACCAACATGTCGAGAACTATTACCGTCGACCCCGAGTCCAGGCCGACCCCGCCGAGGTGGCTCAGAGCCTTATCAATATTGGCTACTCACCAGAAGCGTCGGGATTGCAGGCAGACACAGTTGCTACCATTTGCCTCAGCCCCAAGACCTCTCAGGTTGGACTTCGTCATGTCCTCTCTCATGTCATCTTTCGGAGCCTCGATTTCAATTCTGGCAGCAGCTTGTCCATGCTTCCACTAGCGGTTGCAACACTGGCGCAAAGAAGCCACTCAGCTGAAAATGCAAACAATCCTGGTAAGACACTCCCATATTAACTCAGAGCCTGATTAGAGAAATGGCTAATCAAACTTTCAGCAACTGTCTTGGCACGTTCAAGGTGGCGCACACTCTCTGCTCTGCTTCTCCATCCTAACCCGGGTGAGAGAACACCACTCCCAGTGTCAGTGACAGAAGCTTCCCCTATGGCTCTGTCTCTGGCGAATGAGCTAAACCGATTCTTGGAGATGTTTGTTACACAAGACCCTGCTAACCAACAGGATCAGATGAACCATCTGCAGGCTGTCATTCTTGAGTGTACCAAACTGGGCTATGTCGTTCTATCACAGCCGAGTGACTGGGGTTTCGTTTTTAGCAACAGTACACCCATTACAAAAAGCCGCAAGATTGTCGTGTGTCCTGGTTTGGAAAGGCTCGGCCAAAACGATGGAACGAGGTATAGATCGCCCAAGGAGGTCGTAGCACCGGAGACTGTGAGTCTGTGAGGGAGAGGAAGCACGTTCACTGCAACTTTTTGGTCATTAGGTTTCATTTATTGGATGGTTGGATTTGGTGAGCTGCACAAGGCTCGATATGTAGTCCTGTATGGCATGGCTTATTAGAACTATAGCCACGTCCAGTAATGAGTGTGTTTATGATGGAGTCAACTTGCAAGAGACTGACAGTCGCCGTCCATGAACAAACAACACATCTTGTTTTCTATGCCATGATTTGAGTGAGTAAAGTCACTCGGTGAGTACGTGAATGTCTACTGTTATCTTTCTTAGACATACCGGTGACTGTCTGCATGCGCTTGAACCGAATTCGCAACCAACACCACAACACACTAATAATACATATCCAATTAACTGCCCAGCTGATGGATTGCGTCCGGCTAGTGGCCTGTCTTAGTTGATTGGGCGTGAGTGGCTGAGAGCTGAGTCTTTTCTCAGAGCCTGCTTCTAGATATGCAAGCCACATGCCTCGATATCACCTTTGGCGTCAGCTCTGAGCATGGGTCTTAAGCGATATGATAGTGTAACTATGGATATTGTGCAAATCAGAAATAGGCTGGCATCACAGCCTGATTTTGTTCTCTCTTTTCTTGTCTGAGCGGGGAAGACTAATGCGAGGGTTGTTGTCTCGCATCATTCATCACCTGCAGCTTAACAAGGACTAATCAATACCTCGACGATCACTCACATATTGCTCTCCTCACCAAAGTCACCAGAAAAATCCATTATATGAGACTATCCACTTACAAGAACACAGGATTCCATTTTATATCATCATGCCCAACCCCCTCAAGGCAATACATGCAAGTTTCAACCTCCTGACCTGGGCGCTGGACCACGACCAGGTCCCAAATGATATCCGTCGCAGCCTCGAGCTCGTTCGAACATGCGACTCAGATCTTCAGCATCTCATAGAATTATGTCAAGAATGTCTCCATCTTCTGCAGCGCCGCCCAAAGGTTCTTGACCGGGTACACAACATTATCGAATCAGCTCAAAGAGGACTTCAAGAAGTCTGCGAGATCGTCGAGAGGTGTCGCCCTGAGGCTGACAGAGGTGGAAAGACTACCTTTTCGAAACGCATGGCGTGGGTGCTTGTTGATGCGAGCGAGTTCAAGAGTCAGGAGCCTATTGTTAGTCGACATCATGCCGCTGTGTTGGCTGAGTTGAACTTTTTGAGACAAATAGCTCTGTTGGCTCCTGTTCCTGAACCTGTGAGAGTCAAGGAGAAGTGTGGTGTAAGAGATGATACCGCAGTGTTTGATAATGTCGCACTGCTAGGGGATCTCCTTGGTGATATGACGGGCAAGTCGAACATCCCCGGCATATATACTCATCGATACAATGATCTAACAATATATTTCACTGTAGCTCCTACCAGGAAATCACCAATTGTTCAGTCTCCAACCATAGTCTTCAACACAAACGCCGGATCGACTACGCCAACGACGCCATCTTCGCTCCAAGTACCCCAGTCTCTTCATAGATCAACGAGTTCGCAGACGATGCATATAGAGCATGCGCCTGGATCACTACCTGAACTTGTTCCAGTCAACATGAACAGCACAACTCTACCTCAGTCTTTCACTTCAAGTGCCACTTACGATAGTGAAGCCCTCGCGGGATTGAGTCTGCTTCTAGGAGACCCCTTAGACTGGAGAGACTCACCGCCTCTGGCGCCAGCCAACAATAGTCCATTGAACCGACCAGTGACAGCTCCATCTCATAGGCAGCCTGCCCACTTCATTCATAATGGTTCTGATCAACATCTTTCACTTCAAAGCTCCTATGATAGTGTCTCTGATCTGAGCCAAGCTAGCCAGCGAGAAAGCCTCAACTACACTCCTTCACGTCTATCGTCAAACATCTCAAGCCCTTGTTATCAGCAACATTCACTTTCAATACCTCCAGCAGCCACACGGCCAACGTCTCAGCTCCATCATATGCCGTCTGGCCACTATCCGGGGCAGCTCAGGTGGTCAAATTCGTCTTCTACAACAATATCTTCCATCTCGTCGGGTTTGACAAGACCTGAATACAGCTATATACCGCCAATTGCTGAGCTTGACCGTTCTCCACACCATATGGTCCCCATCGTTGGTGCATTGAGCCATCTAAATCGACCCAACGAGGTGCCGTTGGACCAGAAACTCGCTATCCAAATCAACACAACACCTGTCGAGCTTCCAGCAGAGGATAGCCTACCCATGAACATAAACCCATACTGCCAGGCTTTCCGTCAGGGGTCTAGCAGAAGAGGGCGAGCCATTAGTCAACCAACATCAACATTACAACAGCAAATAACGAGGAAGCCAACTCTTAGCCAGGTAAATGAAGTGATGAAGGATTATAATAATGTACCAAAAGATTGTGCAACATGGTAGTCGAGTCTCTGGGTATAAGCCTGCAAAGATGTCAAGGATGGACGACCAAGGGTTATTAGCAAGAGGATTCCAACAGATACGCTACTACAATGAGTGACTTTGAAGCAAATGAGAGAACGACCGTTCAGGTATGAGAAAAACTGGAAGCATTTCACCCCAGAGATATATACAGACCGAATGCTAAGTGCTGTATCTGAGTTCACTAGTGATTAACGAGGTTTCTACCTACTATAGTCAAATGAGATTACATGCAAAATGTCAACCTGTCTCACGAGAGCGTTAGATATTCGCAACTCAATTTATTGTCTTGATGACCCTCAGTAAAGAAGGAACCCATTACTACCTATGAACATAGAGCCTCAGCCATTTCCCCTGATTTTCATCCATCAAACCCTGCCCGTTCAAGGTGCCCCAAGCCCAACATCATTCTCTCTCCCACACACAAACACACACTCGCAAGTTCAATCTATGATAAGAAGCATGGAAAGTGATCAGCAATGCAAACAGAGATCAAAATCAGACCCAAATCCTTGATTTCGCAAACGCGCGACAATAAATTGCCTTGATAATACATGTCGATAAACTATTCCCATTCCTACTCGCACGTCAAGACATATATCCCATAACTATTCCCGTACCACATCCCATTCGTGGTCTCAAAATCGTTTCCTGTAGCGCATCCATCCCACACGGTCTCTCACCTTGAGAGGTCGGTCTTCTGCGTGGTCCCTCAGTCTATATGCAAAAAAAAAGATGTGCGTTCCTCGTTTCGCTCGCTTCATCGTTGCAGGCCATGGTCATGCCGAGTCTCGGTCGAGGAACCTCTGTTTTCAGTGGCCATCGTATCGATTATCCGATATCTCGTCATTTCATGGGTCAGGCTATGTCGTGGATAGAATAAAGCGATGCGATACGGTGTCACTGTGCCGTCCGATGTCGAGGCTGAAAGACCGAAATTATAACCGATCGCTCAACGTTCTTTTAAAATAAACAAAATCATTTCCGTAACTCCGATGCTGATGCCCTTTACCGTCTTTGATCTTACCATCCTCGTGTCGAAGATTATAGTCGACATATGTACATTTATTCGACAACTTTAGTCCTCAATAGTCCGCGATGACTCAGGTGAATTCGAGGTGTCCTATACCATCGAACTGAGAACGCTTATACTGAGGATCATAATGAGTAGACCGATAGTAACGACTATCAGCAAGGCGAATGAGAACCAACCCAATACCATGGCGCTGGTACCCACACCACTCTTGACAGCTCCGTTTCCGAAATCCTGGGCTATAACCGAGGCGGCTACGGACGCTGTATGTTGCCATAGCACCGACACAAGGACGAAGATGGCTGAGACGAAGATCAGGGCAAGGGCAATCTGGGAGACAGGACGAGACGGGAAAGGCTTGACTTCGCGATCGGAACCTTCTGAATCAGTCTCCTCGTGCCATCCGGGGAAAGTCGCGAGAAGGAGGAGGCAGACGAAAGCAAAGATGATGGCGATGATGCTGAGAATCTTGTTAGTGTGCTCCGATCTCGGTGCGCGCGGAGTGAGAACTCACATGAGATATGGGAATACAATCATATCTTTGAACTGAGCAGCCAGCCAGATGAGGTTGAGAGGATCTTGATCCACGTCAACCTCCTTAGCCAGTGCAGTGGCATTGTTGCTGCACAGCCAGGAACCACCGTCAGGGTTGATACAGATACCGAAGTAACCAACGCGAGCTTGCAACGAAGCGTCACCCGCGATGTTCTCGATAGCTGAATGGAGGTTGTAGTCGACCTGGGCTGTATCGGGTACTGCTGTGTAGTCCTTGTAGTAGATAGATAGTAGGAAGATGTCGGGGATAAGTGGCGAGGACGATGAACAGCCAGCGAGAAGCAGTGCTTGTTTTGGTTAGAATAGGTATCATCTCAATTAGGGGTGAAATATCTCACATAATAGAATAATGGCGATGGCGATAAGGATCATTAACACATGGTGATAACCGAGGAATGGAACAAAGCCTAGTGGAATTGGATGTTAGCGATGCGGACGGTATCAGCTGAGACATTGGATCGATGTCCCGAGACTAGACTAGACAATGACTTACGATACCAGCCGACCTGGACTTTTTGCCTTCTAGAGGACGAGCTGCTGCTGCTGCTCGTCCCGGAACCCATCGTGAATGATGTTGATCCTGCACTCCTTCAACTTGTTGTCGGTTGAAGTAGCGGCGGGAAACAACTGAGTTGTCTGCGCTCGTCCCCCAGTTAGGGAGCGACAAACACGAGTTTCTCAAGACCGATATCACTTGGTTTCCTTGCTCTTTCTGTTACCGCTTGGTTGCGTAACACTCTGGAAGCGATACTTTGATCGAGCCCGAACTTCCTCCACTGGACTTGATCAGGCAATCTGTCTCGGGAACAACTGGTTCTTGTCGAGGTGAAGGTGATGAAGCGGTGGAATGCGGACGGGTGGGAGAAATCGATGTCTCGGTAGACAATCGACACTGGAATGTATGTGGGCTGAAGACGACGGTTGGTGACAACGAGCGAAAGTCGGGCCCTGTAATAGTGAGATCTTGTTAAAAGAGGTCAAGTTAAGAAGTCAAGTTAAGTTGAGAGTTGGCAACGATAAATCAAGAGCCTTGAAGATCAGTTCACACGTTCTGCTAACGAGGGTGAAGACTTATTGGTTTTGTTAGAGAATCTCCTGAGAAAAGGAGAGAAGGAAAGGAGAGAAGCGGTCAGTCAGTCAATCAGTCGGAGCAGTTTCGTATACCAATACCAGGCAATTGGGCGGATATTCGATGGCTGGGGAAGACTTGGGATAACTAGGTACCAACCTCTGGACTTTTCGGTGGGCGATGCAGAGGTGTAGTACCCAGCCACCTATTTACTCGCGTTGGCCTGGCGACGGTGACGTTTTACATGTGGAGCCACAGTTGCCAGCTGGGCGAGCTCTGGACAGGCAAGACAGGGCCAGGGGGCTCCTTTCAGCACCGGGCAACCCGCTAACCGGCGCCGCAGAGGGAAGGAGAAGCCTAGACGCGATCGGACGCTAAGCTGTAAGCGGCAAGGTGTTATTGGACCTGCAGCAGCGCAGATGAGCAACTTCCTGGGCTTGATCCCTGAACCCTAGGATCTACGATCTTACGTAGCGCTTCGCCGCAAAGTCGACGCGTTTCGATACGACCAGAGCTCGTCAGCGCCCATATTCCGCCAAGGGTTGCCAAGGATAGAAGCTATAGCGGGGCCTCTCTCAGCTTAATGTAGTTGTCATGACGATTTGGCGCCGTTTCGAATGGACTCTCACTCATCCGTACTATGTCGAGCTATCGAACAATTCATATTGTACTAATTGTATTATAGGTTCTTGATTTGCTCCTCTGCCTGGACTAGCTACTGACGTCGATAGCCTCAATTGACGAGTATTGCTCATTTGGCGCCTTGATCTAGGTATCGTGCTCGGGCATTTCCTATAGCTGAGATCCATCTCCTCGGTTATCCTGTTCATAACCTGGTCTCAATTCATTTGCCCCATTTACCCCCGAGTAAGCGAGAACTGGCTTGAAACTCCCCGACTTTTGGTCATGGAGTCTGAGAGTCTCTTTTCCCCAACTCGACCTAAAGAAGTCATATTGTTATCCACTCTGTCGGAGCCAACGACTATGCTGGGGCCAAGCCGTACTCGGTGTGGACAGAAACTCGGGATCACTCAATTACAGCGAAAACTACCAAGCAAGTTATAAAAGTTCGTCTCTATCAAGACAGCACCACTTCCAGGGAACATATGTATTCATTGTAGGATTCAAGTTCTGCTTTCTTCCATTACAGCACATCTTGCTGTCCGATTCGCATGTTATCCAATATTTACTTAGGCAGCGCGGTTGAATCGGAATTCACATGAACTGCAGTACTCAAGTATCTGACGACGACTGCTCTCTAAGTAGCACAAGATCAACATGATACGTGAACTCTTTCCGTCGTAACCGTGAGCTTATTCTCCCGAGAGAGCCGTGATGTCCATCATGACAACCCTCATCTCATGAGAACCCAGCCACCCGAATAACTTCATTCTCCAGGCTTGGCGTTCAGCCACCCGTAAATTTTAGATCCTTTTCACTTACCGCAATTGACTTCAATTACGAGTCTCTTCGAATGAAGTCGGTGTCGGACGTTTCAAACTATTCTATCCCCGCTCGGAATATTCTCTGCACTCCGCGCTTGATCATGTCATGGGAGTTCATCTCAGCTTCCAGAAACACTTGTATCTAGAAGAAGTATGTAGCTATCGGATTTAGTGGGGCACACTCCCACGTCATTTAGAGTAGAGTAGCTACGTTGCGCTATAAGACTCTCAAACACCAACGCACAACCATTATATACAATGGCAGCAGTAGCCGCCAACAATCAAGGAACATCACTCGATAGTCGAGTTGAGGACTTCCTGGATGATAAGCTCCAGTCTACTTCTGACCTTGAAGATCTCGACACCCTTATCGCAAATGTCGAGCTTCAACGAAACCAACTGCAATCCCAGCTGGATACAGCTGTGAAAGAGCTCGAAGAGACCCGGCGTACTGCTGATGATCGTCAAGGGTCGCTTGCTGCTCGCATAGAAGAGTTTAAAAAGCTTCAAGAGAGCATTGATCTTCGTGCTCAGATCTATGCTGCCTCGGATGCCCCAGATCAGGCCATTGAACGCCTCAAGTCGCCTATGAACAAGATCAAGGCCGTTGAGCGTGCCCAGAGCTACCTTGTTCTCTTGCAAGACGCTGAAAAATTACGAGTAGAGGCGAGATCATTTCTGCCTCAGAACCCCAAAGCTTCATTGGAGCCTTACATCGAGTTGAAACAGCATGTTCAAAAGTTACAAGGCCTACCTGGCCAAGAGGGCCTTCACCTCGTCGCATATGCCGAAGCTCTGACCGCTTCACTTTGGGATGAGATCAAATCTACCATGTCCGGGGAACTTGAGGCCGTCCTGAAGCAGAGGAAGTGGCCCAAGA